AAAAAGATAGGGGAAGCTGATGTCACAGAAATTAAAATTAAAATCCATGAGTGCAGTTGAAGTCATGAACAGAGGCTAAGGATGAGAAGAGGAGACAGCCTGTCCAGAGAGACCCCTGAGCAAACAAGTGCTCTTCTGTTGTTCTCTCCTCTCTAGCACCTTTCAAATTTTACATGGCCAGCCTCTCCCTTCACCCATTGAAAATGGTAAGTTTGCTGTTTGCTCTTTATTTCCATTTTCTAAGAAACACACTTGGATGAGAGAAGAAATTTTTTTTTCTGAGAAAGACTTCCCATTCTTTTCCCTTAAAACATTTGAGGCATTTTACGACTTAAACCAGGCAGATTTTTTTCCCTGGGAGCTACATCCATAAAATAAATGCATGATTGGTATAGTCAGAGACCTCCAGAGAGGTTCTGTGGTTATTTTTAGAGTGAACGTGAAGATGAAGTGCAGGCAGATGTGGCTGGAGGAGCAGAGAATGGGGTGAGGGAAGGAGGAGAGATATGGCTTGGAGAGACTTCATGTCCTTGAGAAGAGGAGAGGGAGCTGGTTCCTTAAGGCACAGTTTCCAAAACTGCAGTCATTCATTCACCACCTTCATGGTTTTTGTGAAACTCCCCATACCACGTGCACAATAATTTTTTTCTCTCTAGACCAATTCACTTTTTAGACTTAAAAACATTTGTACAAAACAGGCAATATACCTTTTGAAAATGGAGACGTGCCTAACAGTGAGTAGGTAGGGGGACTAGTTTTAAAAGTTAAAATCTTCCATAAAGATTTAGAAATGATTACATTCTGGCTGCGTACTCTTGCTTGCCCATGGCTATGAACATGAAACATGCTCACTCTTGGCAAAGAAGTGTGATAAGTAAGCATTAGAAAGGTTTTGAAGACATTCTAGCACCAAACTCAGATTTTTCCCTCTGGGTAAATCAGAAGAATTGAAATGAATTTGAAAAGAGAACAACCTTCTCACTAGGTAATTCAATGCTAACGAATCTTGGGTACCGCAGGAGGCATGCAGAAACCCTCTGAGTAGCTTGTCCTAGGATTAATGCTAAGGAGACGGGAGGAGAGTGTTTGGGGTCTAAACAGCCTGGAACCAGCTTGAGTCATAGAGCCAGTCCCCACACCCTTCCCCTGGAGCCCACCGCAGTCAAAACTCCAAGGAGTTCATTCTTCCTGGTGCACTCCTGAGAGTACATGGAATCTTTGGGCATCAGCTTTGGTGCTGTTCTCCTTGGTGAGGTAGGATCTATCACAGTGATCCATGGTGAGAAGAATGCCAGTGAGGCTTTGAGGAGCGGGTGGACAGAAGGCTCCTCTTGGAGCAGAGAGAGTGAGTCGGATAGAACCAGTGACCCCATGTGTCTTGATGGAAGCAAGTAGCATAGCCATAGGCTTCGGCTGATGGGGCCACTTAGAAAACCTTATGGATTGCTAACTTAGCAGCAGCATCTCCAGACAAGAAGACCCGGCAGGCAATCCATCACGCATCCGTGTGCTTTATGTTCAGTGACATGCACTCGGTCCATCCATCATCAGGGAGAGACTGCAGCTTAACAAGGCCTGAGGATGAGTATTTCACATCATTTATTTATTAGTTTGCAAGATCTGACTTTCCAGGATACCACACAGGGTTTGAAGTCATTTGAAATGTTAAAAAAAAAAAAAAAAAAAAATGACAACTCTCATCTTCCCACTGTTACTGTGATGGAGATGTTGTTCTTATCTCTTTGCTTTCATCAAACTAATTGCCTGTTCCTTCACAATGGCTTGGATGCAACGATATAGATACTGTCTGGGAGAAAAGTCTGGCTTTGAATGGTAATGAGGGATAGATGCATGCAATGGCTGCTTTTCTTGGAAAACTGGAAAGGGATGTGTGGATAAAGGTTTGCCAGCCCATCCAGGGGTAAATTTAGAATGTTTGCTTGAGATATTTGAAGTAAGTACTAGAAAAATGCAAACATTCTCAGACTTGTTGGAAGGTTGTAGTTTAGCCAAATATTACTATTTTAAATTCAGCCTAGAACATCAGAATGTCAGAACTGAAAGGGACCATAGGGGCCATCTGGTTAAAGGCCCTCATTCTTCAGATGAGGAAACTCAGAGGCCAGAAACGATTTGCCGAAGGCCAGGGCAAGAAACTCATAGTAGATTGGAAAATAAACATTTGTCCTTTTCACTTACATAAGCTAAATAAAAAGTCATCTGAAGGTAATAGAAAATACATCATCTGGCTGCTGAAAAAGAGACTTTTCAAAATTTAAATGTAAGCTAGTTAAAAATAATTATTTTTGTTTATGAGGAAAAGTTTTTGTCCTCCCTAACAGTCTAGACATTTAATGATTTTTGTCCTCCTGGTGATTAGGAAATTTGCTTAAGATGGGGGATATAAAAAAAGAAGGAGCAAAAGGTAAGCAATTGATGAGACTCCCTAATTTTTCTTTCCAATGCACAGGCCTGTTCCAGAGCCCCCTTTTAAGAGGGGATATTTCATGCCAGGGTAAAGGGCATGTTTTTTTCTGAGAGGTCCTGAAGCTCCTGTTATTGTTATTGGTGAAAAAACTTTATGGTCCTTTGGCTTTTAGGTATAAAGTGTTGACAGTTCAGTGACAAAATGCCCAAGGCCTCACCTAAGGGTAGGGGCCCCCTGACTACCAGGCCCCCATCCCTTGCCAGGATGAAACCTCAGGATTCTGCTGGAAGGAATGAGACATTTTAAAAAGAAGACACAGGCAACCCAGTTGGGCTTCAGTTTGCTCAGGCCCTAGCTGCCTTTCTCATCAGAGAGAGAAAATAATACAGAAAACCAAAGCATACACTTTTGTTAAACAAAGTTAGATTCCATCAACTGAAATGACTGCTTTAGACCACTTTTCCAGTGTGCCACCGAAAGTAGACTTCCAGCTAAAGGGGCGTTGATTTTTCCAGTAATAACAGGAATAAGCTCTTGGACTTGTACAGAAATTTACTGTTACAAAAGGCATTCAGATATATTTTCTCATTTGTTCCTAACGGCAACTCTCAAGAGGGATAATTGTTCCCACTCTACAGATGAGGAAACTGAGCTCCAGACAAGTAAGCAGGCGTAGACTTGGGGATTTTGACTCCAAGTTTAGTGCTCTTCCAACTGTATGCTGTTTCCCTTCTATTACTTACAAAAACTCACTCTATTGCAGCAACCTTACCCGCTGCTGGAAGGAAACAGTGTACTTAGAAACGAATGCACAGTGCTTAGTGCAGTTCTTGACATATCGTAATTGTTGGCGTGTGATAGCTTCTGTGGAGGAAGAGGTTGTGTGGTACAACAATCAAGATCATAGGGCTTGAGATCAGAAGGATCTGGATTTGAGTCCCAAGACTCTGAATATTTGGTTGGAGAGCCCCCCCCCCCCCCCCCCCACCGCTCTCTGAAAATGCTTTATGGGAGTGGAGCCAAATGGCTGAACTTCTCTGAGGATGTTAACGCCTACCTCACGAGGTATACTGTGAAACGAGACGCAAACGGGCGTGCAGAGCTTAGCAAGGCGCCTGTACTCGGTATTCAGTAAGCGGAGGGATGATGATCTCAAGAGGATTTGCTCATAGACCTTGTTGTGAGGAAACAAAGCAATGCCTGCCTTGGAACCAGATGCTAACATTTCATAGTTAAACACCTTGCTTTTTAAGTCTCAGGTATTCCAAGGCCTCCTGTCTTTGCCCCTCTCTTGAATTTCTGTGCCTAAGACAGCTTACAAGAATGTCCTGTGGACCCTGCAACTTCTGTGCTCTCAAGAGCAGGCCTCGGTTGTGGCCAGGTACCTGTATATGATGCACGCTGTGTTCTGGCAGGTACTGCAGTTGTTGAGATCTTGGCCAGTTCGATAAAAGTTGCGCCTGCAAGATAGAGCATTTACTAGATAAATCTGTGGGCAAAATCCCCCTGGGATGCACGCATTCTACAGACTCATTCCCTGCAGCACAGCATTGCCCCTCTCATGAGTACCAAAGCCTGGCCATTACAGACACAGAAACAAGAAGCCCCTGTTAATAGAAGCTCACATTTCTAGAGCGCTTTATAAATGTTTAAGCACTTTGACATATGGGTTTTCTTCATGCTGACAATAACCCTATGAGATGAGCCAGTTATTCTTACCCCCGCATGATAGATGGGGAAACTGAGGGACTTTGCGAATGAGTAGAGGAAGATGATGAAAACTCCAGATCCCTTAGTTCAGTGCATTTCTCTCTGTATCATCACAGTGCTTCTCTCTTACAAGGCAATGTTGATTCTGATCCACATCAGCAAAGGCCAGTTAATTACTTCTTCCCTCCCCTACCCTTTTGTTGATTAGCTTTGGCCGTTCCTTCTTCTCAGTCTTTAGAGAGCACTGTTTCAAGGAAAGAACAACTCACACCTAAACAGATAACTGCCTTCCCCTCCCCAGACTGATGCTGAGTCATCCAGGAAAGCATTTTGTGACTTTTTTCTCTTTGCAAAATTGTGATTTCATTTCAGTTTCCATTTAGCTGGTCCATGATGGACTGGCCCAAGCCTTCAAAGTGGTCAGTGGTGGGAAAGGTCAATAGTAAGCTTAGTGGCCACCTCAAGTCCCTGTGACAAACCCATAAATAACTAAAATACTGTGCAAATGCAGTAACTTGCTTCAAGGATGGGGGTGGGGGAAGCACCTACATGCTATCATTTTCCCCCATCGTTTATCAGCTGGACTCACATCTTAATAAAAATCACTTTTGACTCTGCTGCTTCATTGCCCCCTTTCTGCAGTCTGTTGACATCTGGAAACAAAAACACATCACCGTGGAAATCCACCAAAGCCTACAACCAGACGAAACCCAGTCAGAACAAAGGGGGACCATTGCTTACAATTTGGGGAAACAACAGAATCTCAGACATTTTGGAGACATCTTACTAACGGAAACCAGTGCTCTCTCTCTGCCCCTATCCTGGCAAGTGACTTAACCGAATAAAAAAAAATCCACCTTACCCTTCTGTGAGAGCTCGAGCTTTCTCCAAGTCTTGAATTACATTCAGAAGGACTTTAATTTTCTCTTGGTTTGAGTGCAGAGATTCCTCCACGGATTGCAGCCTGCCCTGGAGGTCGCAGAACTCACCCTGTGCCAGGTGGATTGGATTAAGTGCACCCATCTCCGTGGTGCCCTGCTGTTTGGTCTCCCTCCTTGGAAGAGAGGATGGGAGGTGATCGCTTTCTGGACAGTTTTGAAACGCTGGGTTGTGTGACTGGAAGGGGTTCTTTGCCATCTGCTCCTGACACACAGGGGCAGATTTTGACTCACTGTTAGTTTTGAGTGACTGCAGATCCTGGTGATTGTTACTCGATGAAGCACAGTCTGAAGCTCCCCCTGGCTGGGCTGGCTGGCTGTGGGAGCCTGGCGAAGGGGAGCTGTGAGTCTGTGGATGTGAGGGAACACACGTTTCCTTTGACTGAGATGACAATGGGCCAAGGTCTTTGTCATCAGAGTTATCTTTGGGCAAAAGCATTTCAGGTTTAAGTTTCCCTGTGCCGGGCATGTGGTTGGCACCGCTGGTGGCATTTAAGCAGGAGAGGGGTCTTTCTGAATCTGACGGTGGCACTCTTCTCCCATCACCTGGACACATGTCAACCAAAGTGGGTATGGAGTTGCTAATCTCAGCAGACCTGTCTGGGCTGAAAGTGGACTCTCTACCTGCCCAGGTAGGGCTGTGATAAATATCATCTGGAACCTGAATGGCAGCTGTTGCTTTCTCTGAGGCCCTCCATGTCCCTGCTTCCAAGCATATGCTCACAGGCCCATTGCTTTGCACCTTGGACATTCTAGGGAGAAATGGGTGGGACGCCTTGACCCTTTGAGGCCCATCTTCAAGATGCCGAGACAGCCTTAAGTAGGCAAGGTCAGAGGACACAATGTCCTGTTCAGAGAGATTGCCGTTCACCTGGATGGCACTTTGGGATGCTGTCTGCATTTCCACCAGGGACTTGCTAGCTGTGAGTCTCTTCCTTTTGAAAACTGGGAAGTGCTTCCTGAGACTGGGGGAGGTTTGGATGGCGATGTGCCGAAAGCCCCCTGCCTTCTGGGACCTGGGGAAGGAGAGTGAGTAGGTGGGGAGGTGATGGTGCCCGGAGGCCTGAGTCTTGCCCATTACAGCCGGGTCCTCAGAAGTTTGGATGTCAACCTCAGCTCGGGCAGGTGGAGTCTTACTGGTGCCATCTTCCTTAAATCGTACCTGCTGAGATTTGCTCCTGCGGTGGTGAGGTTGCTTCACAAGCTCCACCGACTCTAGACTGTTATGCTTCAGAAGCACAGGCCTCACTTTCATACTTTGCTGGGCCATTGAGCCTCAGTTGAAAGGATTGGGACCATACACTTCTGGGCACATTTCCTTAGGTCTTTGGAGCAGCATCTAATGACAGCATCTCAGACACAGAGATCTGCCAGCCGGGATGGAGTGGTCCTCTCCTCTGAGTATGGGCAGCTCTGTTGGCCATTCCCAGCCAGCAGGTTTTCTTGGGGGGCTCTCCGTAATGCTTCCCCTGCAGTTAAAATATTATTCCATTGCAGTGGTAATTGCCACTTAGGTAAACAAGGAGTTAGGCTAATTATTAAACCTGATCTACCACGAGAGCTGGTGGGCTGTTTATCAACGGAGGCTGGCAGGCGGTTCTGATCCTGGAAGAAGCTTGCTGTCTTGAACAAAAAGACAATGAAAGTACCATTTAGGGGATAGCGCCAGACTGCCAACATGTGAATTCCAAAAGAAACCTGCTACGTCTGGAACATACGGCTTCCTTTCTGGGAGCGTCAATTTGCACTGTAAAACTACAGGAAACTTAAACATATCTTTCCATTTCATGTAAACAGGCAGAGAAATAAATGACCTGGGGCTTGGCTTCTTTGATGATACATGATGCTCCTAAGGCAACATCCCCATTGACGTCAATCACATATTCTTCCTTTGGGGCCATTGTTTTCTTTCATGCTGTTTCCCTTTTCTTCAGTGAGGGAAACTTATCTGCCTAAATAGCCTCACAAAACCCAGTGGCGTGTGATGGGGACAGGATTGAGGCATCCGAGGGCATTCAGAGGGCAGAGTCCCTGTCGTGGTGTCTTGGCTGAAGTTCACATGTGGGAAAAGTGAGCCACATCTGCAACTCCTGGGTATTTGAGCCAAAACCTTTGTTCGCTTGGCCTCGGGGTCGGGGTCTGGGACCTGGCAGTCTTTGCCACCAGGCAAGGAGAGTCTGAAAGGGAAGAGATAGCAGATGCAACTGAGAACACAGTTCCTGGGGGCCTGGGTTTCTCTCCAATTTCCAACCTCCCAGCTGAGGGCTTTTGATAGTGGATGGTCTGGGGGTAAGTCAACTTACTACCTTTGTGTCTTTTCCCCTAGTGAGCCAGCCACCTTGTGGCTACAGGGCCTCGGAACAAAATGCCTGTCTGCCTGGATCGCTTCCTCCTTCCACTCCCAGGCATCCCCCAGCCAACTCCTATTCATCCATGAAGTCCCAGCTTAAATGGCACTTCCTCACGAAATTTTTCTAATGACTCCTCCCTCACATACACCTCTGATGCTACATCATATCAGGACCCCCATTATACCTTTTCGCCACATTCTTCATAACACAAATTGTAGCTGTCCCCAAATAATCATTTGTGTACGTATTTATTTAATGTGTATCTCCCCTGCTACCCTGTAAGCTCCAAGGTGGCAGGAGCTGGAGCCATTTTTTTTTTACAGCTTAGGTATTTCCATTCCTCCTTTAGGCTCACTGTGGGTGCTTAATGAATATTTACTGAAAGAGAGGATGGCCGAATAAAGCAAAGGAGAGCCTGGGAATGGTGGATGGGGTTCCTAAGGTATCTTGCCAGGGCAACAGGATGGTGAATTCTCTCTGCTCGGACCGAAAGTTTTGCTAGAGGACAAGATTTTCCCCTAATGTCTTCATTTCTTAATTGCTTTCTAGGAGATAAATGTGCATAAAATTCTCCGTGCAAAGTGTGCCTTGTAATAATAACAGTTACCATTTATTGAACACTTATCTTTACCGTGCTGTGGGCTTGTAATAATAACAGTTACCATTTATTGAACACTTATCTTTACCGTGCTGTGGGCTTTATTTGCATTAATCATAAAAACTCTCGTTTACCAAGTAGTCACCAATGCACCAGGTGCTGTTCTAAGCGCTTTCCAAGCCATAACTCATTCATTCCCTGCCCTATAGAGGTGGATACTCTTATTATCCCCATATGACAGTTGAATATGCTGAGGCCCAAGGACACACAGTTAGTGACAGAGCCAGCGTCTGAACTTAAAACAGTCTGGCACCAGAGCCTGTTCTCTTAGCCTCAATGCTCCACTGCTTTCCCAGTATTACATTATCTCATTAATCCTTGGAACAAAACTATGAGGTATTATGATCCCCATTGGACTGATAAGGAAACTGAGGCTCAGAGAGGATAAGTACCCAGTGGAGGAGCTGAGACATGAACCCAGGAGTCTATGACTCCAAAGTCCATGTTCTTGCACATGAGGTTATGACTTTGTCCCCTTGGCATCTTCCTGGTATTCGGGGCAGATGGTATTAGTGATCTGAGTACAGAGTTTGAGGACTTGTGCAGGTCTGGAGAGATGCAGGGGATTGTGCCCTGGCCTTGCCATGGCAAAGTGAACCTGTTTGCTGCTAGTCTGAGGGAGCCCACAGAAGTGGAATGAGGCAAGTTCGAAGCCTGCTTGAGTTGACCAAAGGATATTACAAGAAAATGAAAGTGGTAAAACAGTCCACAAGTATCTGGATGTCTCTGAGGGAGTATTCTGTCTCTATTGTACTTGGCCTTATCATTAAGGTCGAAACCTCTGGCTTCTCTAAGCACCGGGGCTTTGCTCCCAAGATGGTCTTCATCCTGCTGCTTGGGGTTCTGTTTTGTGGGTGCAGCTTAAGCCTTGTTTCTCAGTGTTCTGCTCTCCCCAGGAATTACTAGATAATGCCAATGGCAATTTCAGCTTTCCCAGCTCCCAGCTACCTTGAGAAGGGTCACCTGACCCAGTGGGGCTGGCACAGGTAGTGGCAGGTCCTGAAAGAGGAAAGGATTCATCTAATGCTAATGAGTTGTCAACTTATCATGAGGTCCTGCAACTACTTCTCACATTCTGGGTTCAAACCCCTGTCCCTTACTGGCTGAAGGGTTTTTTGACAATACTTATTCCCTCCAAGCCTCATTGTTTTAATCTGTCAAATGGGGATGACACATATAGCATAGGCACTACATATGCATGGGTCTGTTGGGGGAAGTAATAAGACAATGCATGCAAAGCCCTCAGCGCAGAGCTCAGGACACAGTAAGTGATCAGCGTGGGCTTGCTGTTGCTGTTAATACTGTTGTCACCACGCAATTAGCTTTCCTTTTTGTGAATGCGGGGGAGCATGTAGAGCTGCTATCTGCAGCTTTTCCAGAGCAGGTAGAGCCACTCTTGGTACAGAGAATGGGCAGTCTGGGGGAACACTTGCCTCACCTGTCTGAAAAGCAGGGCTGGCCTATGAGAGCTGCATCGCCCTGTAACTCTGGGGAGATGGCCCTGTTGGTGAAGGGCTCCCCAGTCACTCTGCACAACAATCCCAAACAACTCCATTTTAAAAATCAGTTTAGGGCTTCCCTGGTGGCGCAGTGGTTGAGAGTCCGCCTGCTGATGCAGGGGACATGGGTTCGTGCCCCGATCCGGGAAGATTCCACGTGCCGCATAGCGGCTGGACCCGTGAGCCATGGCCGCTGAGCCTGCACGTCTGGAGCCTGTGCTCCGCAACGGGAGAGGCCACAACAGTGAGAGGCCCGCGTACCGCAAAAAAAAAAAAAAAAAAATCAGTTTTGTGTTTCAACAACAGCAGAATTTTTAGATCTGTAAGAATCCAGGAGCTCATCCCCTCCTTCCAAGGCTAAGTCTTCTCTCCATCGTCTTCTTCCTGTAATAAGTAAGCCTGCCTGGATACCTGTAGTGACAGGGAGCCCACTACCTAATCTCACAGTCAACAATAATTATTTTTATTAATATTAGCAAATATGTATTAAAAACTTGTTATTACCAAGCACTGTGTTAGCACTTGGCATTTAATCCTTAAAATGGCCTTTTGTATATGACCCCCCCTTTTGCAGAATGAACAATTAAAACTTACTAGGTTAAGTCTAAAACCACACAACCCATATCTTTAACCCTTGTGCTGCAGAGCCTAGATATTTATATGTCTACTCGTGTGGATTTCTTTGCTTAATTGTCCTCTACCTTGTCCCTCTCCTTAACTGTTCATTAGTGCTTCATTCTGGGAAAGTTAACTCACTTAGACTATGATTGCCTGAAGCTGGTTTTCATAAGAGCTAATATCTAGTAAATATTGATTATGTGCCAGGCATTGTCATAGGTGTTCATTTACTCTTGTCCTTAATCTTCATGACAGTCTTAGAGGCAGGTGCTGTCAGTCACACATTTTGTAAATGAGGAAACTGAGGGACAGAAGCTTAAGTAATTTGTCCCAAGTCACTTACCCGCTGAACCCAAGGACTGACCCTGGAGCATAAGCTCCTAACCACTGGGATTTCCTGCCTTCTCCAGAACTAGGAAAGGACTGATCTTGTCAGGCTGTTAGGCAGGTTTCAAAGTCACTCCACATTTTCCTTCTGAAAGTCAGCCATTATTCTGCTTTTCACCCTGCTTTTTCTCCAGGAAATGTGTATATCCTTGACATGTTTTATTTTCATCTTTGAAAACAGTTTTCTATTTTTAAATTATTACATGTTCATTGTAAAAATTCAAATAGTATAGATAAACAAAGAAAGGAAGGAAAATCACTTGATTTCTAAGATAGATAAACAAAGGAAGGAAGGAAAATCACTTGATTTCTCACCACTCAGAAAGAGCCACTATGTACCAGTAATTTGGTGAAGTTCACTCTCGGCACCCCGCTGTGCAGCATTTGCACATTCATAGTAGGCCCATTGCATATGCGTGCACGTTTACAGGAAGACGTTTTTTTACTGAACAACATGGAGAAAGTTCCACATTATGGCACACAGATTCACGCCATCCTTTTAAGTAGGCTAATCGCACTTTGCTGTCTAGTTATACGGTGATCTATTCAAGTGATATCCTTTTGTGGATATTTAGGTTGTTTCTAAATACTTGGTGTTATTAATAGTTCTGGAAATAACATGTTTTGCTCTGTGAACCTTGGAGCACTTGTCTAATTATTTTCTTGGAATAAATTTGTGGAAGAAGAATTAGTGGATTAAGGTACCTAGGCATTTTACATTTTGTTGATATTACCTCTTTGCATATGTGTTCATCAGTGATATTGGCCTGTAGTTTTCTTTCTTTGTGACATCTTTGTCTGGTTTTGGTGTCAGGGTGATGGTGGCCTCGTAGAATGAGTTTGGGAGTGTTCCTCCCTCTGCTGTATTTTGGAAGAGTTTGAGAAGGATAGGTGTTAGCTCTTCTCTGAATGTTTGATAGAATTCTCCTGTGAAGCCATCTGGTCCTGGGCTTTTGTTTGTTGGAAGATTTTTAATGACAGTTTCAATTTCAGTGCTTGTGTTTGGTCTGTTTATATTTTCTATTTCTTCCTGGTTCCGTTTCAGAAGGTTGTGCATTTCTAAGAATTTGTCCACTTCTTCCAGCTGGTCCATTTTATTGGCGTATAGTTGCTTGTAGTAATCTCTCATGATCCTTTGTATTTCTGCAGTGTCAGTTGTTACTTCTCCTTTTTCCTTTCTAATTCTGTTGATCTGAGTCTTCTCCCTTTTTTTCTTGATGAGTCTGGCTAATGGTTTATCAATTTTGTTTATCTTCTCAAAGAACCAGCTTTTAGTTTTATTGATCTTTGCTAGTGTACTTCATTTCTTTTTCTCTTCTTATTTTTAATTAATTAATTTAATTTTTGGCTGCGTTGGGTCTTTGTTGCTGCACACAGGCTTTCTCTAGTTGCAGTGAGCAGGGGCTACTCTTCGTTGCAGTGCATGGACTTCTTATTGCGGTGGCTTCTCTTGTTGTGGAGCACGGGCTCTAGGTGCACAGGCATCAGTAGTTGTGGCACGCAGGATCAGTAGTTGTGGCTCACAGGCTCTAGAGCGCAGGCTCAGTAGTTGTGGCACATGGGCTTAGTTGCTCTGCAGCATTTGGGATCTTCCCGGACCAGGGCTCGAACCCGTGTCCCCTTCATTGGCAGGCAGATTCTTAACCACTGTGCCACCAGGGAAG